GGTATTCTACAAAATTCCCGACAAGGACACCTCTAGACCTGTTATAAAAAAAACATGGAAAGTTGGATAAACTATTTTAGTGAAGAGGAACTTAGGGATGTATGACTATGAAATGTGATGCTATACAGATGTTTTCTTAAAACAGAAAAGGGACATTAGCTAAAATGAAGGAAATCTGAATAAAGTATGGACTTTAGTTAACCACTTCTCAGTCCAATTATTTAAATACAGGATGACCAAAACTTGAACATTTTTTCATTAGTTTTTATAAGATAACAAGAAATACACAAATGAGCTCAAGGCCAGTCTGAACTACATAGTGAGATCCTGTCTCAAAAAGACAGAAAAATAATTAATTTAGTTAAATTAGAAATTTATTAAGAGCTGAGGATGTTTATTAAGAACAACGGTAGAGTGCTTGCCTAGCATGTGAGGCCCTGGGTTCAATCCTCAATACTAAAAAGTTTATTAAGAAAAAAAAAGATACTGACTGAGTCACATGCTTTCAAAAGAAAAAAAGGGAAACACTAAGAGAAGCTTCAGAGGACTAATGGAGTGAAAAATCAGATTATATGGGACATAGGAATGAATAAGCAGTAAGAATGGATCTATAAATCTTGGCCTCTGCTAAAAACTGTGCTTAGAAAGAACAAAAAGTGCTAGAACTACACATCGAGTTGAAGAAAGTGTTTTTGATTGTTTAAATAAAAGTACAAATCATATACCAAAATTTTCACCTTTTAAAATGACTTTAGTATATTTACCAAATTGTATACACATCTCCAATAACTAATTCCAGGTTATATAATCATCTCAAAATGAAATGATAAATTAAATACTTAAATAGAACGTGCTCATGAATAGAAAGACTTTAGCAATTTAAGAAGTCAATAAAATCAAAGCAATCTAAAGAGTCAATGAAATTTTTATCAAAATTCTAAAAACTTTTATTAAAAATGGAAAAGTGTATCCCCAAATGCCTGTAAAATTTCTAGGGACCCTATATCACTAAAACAACCTTGAAAAAGAATAAAGCTGGAGAATTCACATTCTGAAACTTAGCAAAACTACAGTATTATAAAAACATGAAGATACTAACATATGGCAGATATAAGAGAAGGAATAGAGTAGAGCTCAGAAACACACTCCCATGAACATGGCTAACTGATTTTTTATCTGGGTGCTGGCAAGATTACTCAATGGGAAAAAAACAATGTTTTCAATCAACAGTGCTGAAAAACTGGATATCCACATGCAAAATAAAGTTGGAGCCTCATTTTATATTATATGCAATAATTAACTCAAAATGAACTAAAACCTAACATTAATGCCTAAAACTATAAAGCTCTTAGGAGGTCTCCACGGCACTGAATTTAGTAGATTTCATAGATATTACACCAAAAGCACAGGCAATGAAAAATAATTCAAACCTAAAAACTTTTACTTGTCAAAGGAGATTAAGAAACAGGAAAGAAAACCTACTGAATGAGAGAACACATCTGTAAATCTCCTATATGACAAGAGATTACTCTTCAAAATATATAATATAAGCAATTCCTAAAACTCAGTAACAAAAAAGCAAACAATTTAATTCAAAAGTAGCCAAAGGACTTAGACATTTTTGGTCAAGCCTGAAGGTACACACCTGTAATCTCAGTTACTAGCAAGGCTGAGGCAAAAGGATCACTTGAACCCAGTTCAAGCAGTGCCTAAGCAACACAGTAAGACTCATCAGCTACAAAAGCTATGCATACCAATGTGAAGTATTAATATTGAGGACACAGTAAAAGGTATGTGTATTTTCTTTGTAATTTTCTGAAAGATAAAGTCTAATTTTCTGTTTTAAATTAGAAGTTTAGCCAGGTGTGGTGGCACATGCCTGTAATCCCAGCACTTGGGAGACTGAGGCAGGAAAATTCAGTATGGGAAACAGAGGGTGAAAAAGGGGTTACATGTACACATCTTGGGGAAACCTTGTTCATGGCTAAACCTTTCCACATTCCTCTGTTCTTGCCCTCAGATATAGATACTGGGAGGGACAATTTCTGGCTGATTTTCCCCTTAACAGCAAAGGTTTTTTTTCGTTTTGGTTTTGGGTTAGGTTTGTTTGTTTGTTTGTTTTTGGTCCCAACGATCGAACTCACAACCTAGTGCTTGGCAGGCAGGTGCTTCTTTTATTTATTTATTTTGTTTTTTTCCTTTTTATGGGTACCAGGGATCAAACTCACGACTGCCTGCTTACAAGGCAGACGCTTATGCCGCTGAGCTAAATCCCCAGCCCCCAGGCAGGTGCTTCTTAACAGCAAAGTTATATGTGATCAATAAAAACTTCAAAGGAAAGTGATAAAAGTATAAAGAAAAAAGACTGAGTTCCAATATACAAAATAAAGGCAATTAACTCCCTGTGTTTTCACATAATCTTTTTAATGTTATTATAATACTGCAATGATTCTCAGTATTTTCAAGTATGAGAAATGTTATACAACAATCTGAAAAACTAAGTATGTGAAGCATGGTGTCAGTGCCTACCTGTAATGCCAGCACTCAGGAGACTGAGTGAGGCAGGAGGAGTACATGAATTCCAGGCCAGTCTGGGTTATACAGTGAGTTCAAAGCCAGCCTAAACTACCTAGTGAGTGAGACCCTGTCTCAAAAGCAAAACAAAACAAAAGAACTATGCAGAGTTCCATGGTAAATCACAATTTGAGAATGCTGACTGAGGAAAATATGATCAAGCAAAGATTAACACTTTAAAATGAATCTGTATTTTACTGATTACAACTTCACCTTACTGATGTAAATAAGATCTTTTGCAATCAATCTAAGACCCAAGGTTGAAAACTACTAAGTCCTACAGTTCTATCCCAGTGCCCCAAAGGGCTCATGAGTTCCGAGGTGCTGGAACAAGGGTGCACATCTCATTAACAGACTAATCCAGTCATGATTTCCTAGGTGGATGGGCTCTTAGGAGGTAGAGTCTAAATGAAGGAACAGGTAACTGGAAGCTTAACATGGCAGAATATCTTGTCCCCAGCCACTTCTTCATTCTCTGCTTCTTGGCTACCAAAGAAATTTTGAAAGGCATCAAGGCCTAAAATATCTTTTAAGTAATTTCACAATAAACTTCTATAGAATTACTATAGACCACTAATATTATTAAGTTAGACATTTTGTACTAAAATACAGATTTCTCTAGCATCTCCACTTCTGTGTTAGACATAACCTTCTGAGGAAGCTTTTGTTTTTTTCACAGCTGTTTGTACGGCAATGGAATGTTTGATTCCCTCTCTTTTATAATCAAAAATTACAAAGACATACAAAGGAAAAAAAATAATGAGACCCCAGAGAGCCATCACTAGTGCAATCAGTTAGATTACAAACAAGCTTTATCTCTAATGCCATTCACTTTACCCTTCTTCCTCCAATAGATTATTTTTTTAAATACAGACTACCTTTCTCTTTCCTTTTCTTTCATTCATCCAGGCTATAAGACTATAGGATGGTGCTACCTACAATCTCCCACTTTCAATTTACTGACCTGCAAATTATCTCTGAAAGCTCTCCACAGAGACACCCTGAGTGTGCTTCACTAGTTGGATGAGAGTCCAATAGAGTATTTTAAAGGCAACGCTAGGCTGAGGATTTAGCTCAGTGGCATAAGGGCCTGCCTGGCCAGCAGGTCCTGAGTTCAATCCCTGATACAAAAAAAAAAGCAACTCTAGACATATTATTTCACCCATAAACATTTTCACATGTATCCCCACACACTGAGAGATAGTGTTCAAAGATATCAAAAGATATTGCTGGTTCTTCATTCTAATGCTGGTGTATCAGATTTCTGACATAGCACTCCCAGTAAACCACATGTTAGTCATATATACATACATACACATGTGCACACACACACACTGAGTGCTACTTTGGTTCACAAACTCAACTGGATTCTGATCACAAATGAACTGGAAGAGAACCAGATCAAATTTCCCCTTAATGTCAGCTCTGAACCTAACCACTGAATTTGATGCACTTCTCACTCAACTTGGTTTACAACCAGAACCATGGAAAGAATCAAGGACATGAACCAAGGTATCACTATGTGGAATATATATATTCAATGTGGATCTAAACTTTCATAAAACCTTAAAAACTTTAGAGAATTAGAAATATCCTTTATAGGACCAGGGATATAGCTCAGCAGTACAGCACCTGCCTAGCAAGTGTAGTCATGAGTTTGATTCCTAGTGCCAAAAAAAACCAAAAAAATCAATATCCTTTATAATGCTGGTTGGTGTGGTACACCCCTGTAATCCTAGTGCTTGGGGAGGCTGAGGCAGAAGGACTGCTGTGAGTTTGAGCTCAGCTTGAGCTATAAAGTGAGTTCAAGGCCAGCCTAGTAATGAGACCTTGTTTCAAAAACAAACAAAACACAACAACAAAAAATCTTTTATGACTACAGACACAAAAACTGGAAAGCAATATAGTGACTGTATATACGACATTACTTTATATACCATAACAAAATACGGTATATGAAAATATATAGAAAAATACAAGTATATAATGTTTCTTTAATACAATTCCTTACAAATTAAACAACATCAAAGAAAGACTCTCAAACAAGAAAATTACAATAAAAGTAGTCTGAATATTTTCTTTTTTTTTTTTTTTTTTTTTTTTGTCTTTTTCCTTTTTTTATCGGTACCAGGGATTGAACTCATGACTGCCTGCTTGCAAGGCAGGCGCTTATGCTGCTGAGCTAAATCCCCAGTCCCTGAATATTTTCATTTGTAATAAGATCACTGGCGAAACATATTGGCGACCTCTAAGAAAAAAGATGTTTTAAAAAGTCCCACAAAACTCCTCCACATCTCAGTGGTAACTGATATTCATACAATATGAATTACTTGGTGACAATATTAGTATACATAAAGTAATTCTTGTAGCTGTATATTTTACAAAACAAATGAGGTAAATTCAGAAAAATTTTACTTAATGCTTACCTTTTGTTGGACTGAGATTCTGATCTATAAATCCTCTTAATTCTGTATTTGTGGAAGTCAAACCAACCTGAATAAAACAGTTTTAAAAATTAAAAATAGCATCTTAAATTTTATGAGATCACTTCAAAAGCTAATTTATACCCATATCTAATGTCACGTTTGCCACACAAAAGTGAATCAATTAAATTAACCCACAATCCCAATTACTTTATAGGCTGAGGCAGAATCACAAGTTCCTAATCGGCCCAGGAAATTCAGTGAGACCCTGTCCTCAAAATTTAAATTTAAAAAATTAAAAATTTTTTACAAAGGCAGGGTGGTGCACACCTGTAATCCTACACAGGGAGACTTTGTTTTTAAAAAAAAGTAATAATAATAATAATGATAATAAATAAAAACAGGTGACTCTATAATAGAGACTCTGCCTAATAGACACAAGGCCCTGTTTAATGTCCAGCACTACATACACACATACACACACACACACATACACACACACACGCACACACCCTTTCCATCCTCAGTGCTGGAGCTACAGGTCAGTTACACAGTATTTGCTCCGCATGTGTGAAACCACATTTAATTTCCCCTAACACAAAATATAAAAATGCCCATCCTTATTTAATACCCTTAATTTTTAATGCTCTTAATTACTATCTATAATGCTTTCTGACGCTATGACATATGAGGAACCAGATAAGGACCATTAACACCAACCACAATGCTAAAATGAAACAATTATTTGGGTTCACACTCTAGCTTGTAAAGGTGTGGGGTCTTGGTCAAGTTGTATAATTTCCTCATTTGCATATTAGATTATACCAGTACTCACCAATCCAGATTGTTACAAAGATTAAATGAGATAACTCACATAAGTACACAGCACTCACATAAAGTACTTAACATATACTCCAACCTATATTAACATTAATTGCTAGTTAGTATTATATTTGAGGGACTTTTAATAGCATGTGTGTTTATAAATTCACTTTAAGATCATTTATTTCATTTAATATAATATCTATAGGACTATCTGGCATCACAACTGACTATGATGCTATTATAAATGAAGCATTAAAAAACTGCTATGGTGGGGGCTGGGGATTTAGCTCAGCGGCATAAGTACCAGCTTTGCAAGCAGGCGGTCGTGAGTTCGATTCCCGGTACCGGTAAAAATGAAAAATGAAAAAAAAAAAAAAAAAAAAAAAAAGACAAAAAAACTGCTATGGTGCCTACAGGAAAAGAAACCTTCTGTTTCTGAAAACCTGGCACAGAACAAAATAAATGGCTCTATTATTTCTATTAGATTGTTTTATCCAGTGAAGATTTATAATCTTTGAATATCACAAGTTTATAAAATAACAAGTTTCTAACTTAGTACCTCAACTACTCTTTCAGGGTACTCCCACAATGAATGGATTTTTAAAAACTGGCATTCCTAAGGTATCATGGACATACAAAAACTATATATTTAAAGTATATAATTTGATGTTTAAGTACATGCTTACATTATGAAATGATCGCCATAACCACGCGGACACATTTATTATCTCCACATAGAGGTATGTGTGTAAGATTTTTTTTTTTTGTCTTTTTCATTTTTTATTGGTAACGGGAATCGAACCCATGACTGCCTGCTTGTAAGGCAGGTGCTTATGCCGCTGAGCCAAATCCCCAGCCCCGGTATGTGTGTAGGATTTAAGATCTATCCTCACACAGGGAGTAGCTAAGTGGAAGAACAAGTGCAAGGCCCAGCATTTGATCCCCAGAACCACAAGAGAAAAAAAAAAAAAAAAAAAAAAAAAATATATATATATATATATATATTCTTACAGCAAATTTCAAGTATACAACATAGTATTTTAAGTAACTACTGTCGGGGCTGGGGATTTAGCTCAGCGGCATAAGCACCTGCCTTGCAAGCAGGCGGTCATGAGTTCGATCCCTGGTACCAGTAAAAATGAAAAAGACAAAAAAAAAAAAAAAAAAAAAAGTAACTACTGTCACCATGCTTTACCTCAGACCTCCAGTAATCTGAAAGGACTTTAAAGCATACAAAGCTTTAAAACCTTCTATCTTTGCACATGTATTTTGTAAAAAACTCATTACTTTATATTACTTATTCATAAGCACTCATTTGATACTTTAGAATTTCAAAATATAAGAGCTAATTATTTCATTACACGGTCAATGCTCTACTAAATGTGGTTGCTTTTTGCAGAGGTACATCACCAGAAATGTTTCTAGATATCACTCATAATATAATTAATTCTGATGCAATAGATATTAGATAAATGGAATCTACTATCAACAAAACTTTTATGGCAATAGCTGAGACTAAACTATCTAGAAAATAGCTTATTAATCTACCTAGATAATGATGCAGAAACAGCTTTGTCTAGTTTCTTCTCAGTATCAGTCATAAGCATTTCCTTTTCAACAAAATTTGTAAAAAAATAGCCATATGTTAAGACTCCAAAACTGCTCACAAATGCTAATGATAAACATTCAATTTGTTGAAGGGTAAACTGTCATTACTAAGATGTTTCCCTTTTTGAGCCAGGCATGCTGGTGCACACCTGCAATCCCAGCTGAGGGAGGAGGGTCTCAAGTATGAGCCAGGCCTGGACAATTCAGTGACTTAGTGAGACCTTGTTTCAAAATAAAAACTGAGAAGGGCTGAGGAAGTAGCTCAGTGTCAAGGTCTTGGATTCAGTTGTCAGCACCTCACTCAATCAATCAAAAGCTTCCCCCTTTAAATTCTTCTGCTATAAAATGAAGAGAAAGACAAAAGTCTATGTTCTGCTTCAAAAAGAAAACAACAAAGGCAACAATAGCTTTTAATATATTCATTTCATACTTGATGCAATGTGACCATTTAATATGTAGAACAACTTCAAAACAATCATTTTATATCTTTTGTTAATACATGACAATAACGGCAAAAAACCTCAACTAAAACCACAGGTTCACCACAGAGTTAACCATTACTCAGTTACTGTTATGCATAAACACCTGCTCTTCATGCTCAACTTCTGTAGAGAGAAACGGCAAGTGGATTCACAGAATTTTTAAGCAGCTGTGTACAGCTGTACACCTGTAAGTGCACGTTAGTAGGCAACAAATCAAACTCTAAAAAATTAGATAAAGGTCAGCTGAGAATCAGTATTATTTTTGCTAACTTGGGTCTCTTAAGGGAAGAGAGGTGTCTATTTAAAGCTTATATAAATACTATCAAACTGTACTTAATAAAAACTTGAAAGTATGTATCCATTTCAGTTTCATAAATCTTTTGTAGTTTAAAGTTTAAAAGTACATTATTTGAAAGTAGAAAATGTTTACTAGGAAAGGTATTAAGTATTTTTTAACTATCTTTTATTCTATTTTAAAAGGATTTATATTTTACTAAACACGAAGAAAAAAGTATACTCATACTTCATGTCACATTTTTTTGTTTAATCAGGTCCAGTAAAAAGTCTTCTATTTAGATATTCCTTTTTTAAAATTGTAAAACATAGTTTATCATATATATATACACATAAGACAATGTTATAAGAATATATAAGTAGTAAAATAGTTATATAGTAGATATACTAGATTTTTTCCAAAGAATTTTTGATGATAATCTCTAGGCTAATGCAGTGATAGAGGGTTACTGGGAATTAAACTCAAGACTTTCTCACTGAGCTACATCCAAGCTCTTTAATTAATTTACTTTTTGAGACAGGCTGTCACTATATCGCTCGGGTTGGTATTGAACTTGGGATCCTTGTACCTCAAGCTCCCAGAGTGCTGAAATTACAACATGGACGAATTAATTTTTTTCTTTTCTTTTTCTGTATCTCCTACCTTTTTATAATGATTACTATAGCTTATGTAAAAATAAGAAGTTTCATTGAGAAAACAAAACAAAACCTCAAGTATATTTTAAACTCTTTTATATATGTAGGTAAGCTTAAATTAGAATACACCTATCTCTTTGATCTAGAAGACTATCACCAGATGCTATATACTATTTGTAACAATTTTACCCTATATACAAAAAATACACTGCTAGCTCCTCATCTCTCCCTTTTGCAGAATGACCCACCCCACACCCGACAGAGTTCTGCTAAGAATGTTAACATTAAAGAGTTAACTGTGCATGGCAGCAAGAACAGGCTCACTGGCCCAGGCCAGGCTATATCCTTCTCTAATACCTAAGTATGCGAGCCGAACAGGGTTGACCAAAGTCCTCCATGAAATCTGAAACATCAATACTATAAAAGTTCCAGGCCTTTTTCTAAGTATAAGGGTCATGGAGGCCATTATATCACTACTTAGAGAACCAAAACATAGAAGAGCCTGTGACACCATCATTTCATACCTTGGTGAATTCAGATATATTTAAAAGCACAGTAGGCTAAGCTTTTCAATTATATAAATCCATACATTCCACTTTTTGCTTTGAACTGTTTTTTGTTTGTTTCCAGCCAGGATCTTGTTATGTGGCCCAAGCTGGCCCTGAATTCACAATTTTCCTACCTTAGCTTCCTGAGCAGCTGGTATTACAGGTGTGTACTACTATGCCTGACTTCTTAAAGCTGTTTTAAGTAAGGCTTTTATCATTTCTGACTCTAGTAGACTTAGTGCACCATGAATAAGGCATAAGTTGCTCCTTACAGAAACTGTTCTCAGAGAAATGTAAAGTGCAAAAAGGAAATTAAAATTATATATATTTGAGCCCCATAAGGAGGAGGTATCTTCCACACCTGAGTCACTCACTTGTTACTATTATAGACACAAATCATCAGTACCTTTTCAAAACTTTCTTTCAGAGACCTTAAGTCACAGGATAACACTGATTTCTTCCTGTTTTACTTGTTCTTTGTATTTCCTTTGCCATTTCTCCTTCTCCTTATGTTTATGTTGGTGAAGGCCTATGCTCAGACCAGGGTTGTCAAGTATTTTTTACCTGTGCACTCAATGTGTAATCAAATGCAGTCGCACTACTTTGAAATAATTTTCATATGAATTGCCTCCGAATTTCTACCTAAGAGTTCCTCTGACTGCCAGAGTTTTTTAATTCAACTGCCTACTCAATGCATGGCTATTAAACTGCCTACTCAATATGTATATTCTTAGGTTTCTCAACTTTCGTATGTTCAAAACAAGATTTCTGAGTTTGCCACAAGATCCAGTACCTCTCTGAGTTCCTCCTCTCATTGCCCAACACAGCTACTACACAGTTACACAAGCCAAATACTGAGAAGTCTTCTTTAACCTTTTGCATGGTGCTATCTCCTAATTACTCAATAAATCCTGATGACTGCAAAATCTGTATCTGAGTATAGCTACTCATCAATGTTAAGTGTGTTCAAATGTTCTAACTTAAAACCCAGAATAAGAAGGGAGATACAGTAGTCCCCTTCTATCCACAAAGGATATATTCCAAGATCCCAGTGGATATTTGAAACCACAGATGGTGCCAAACTCTGTATGTGCTTTTCCTATGCATACTAAGTATGATACTTTAACTTATAAATTAGGCAAGGTACGAGATTAACAATAGCTAATAATAGAATAGATATAATATACTATGATAAAAATTATGTGAGTATGGCCTCTTCTCTTTCCCAGTATCTTACTCTACTTTTTTTTTCTTTACTTTTGCCTTTTCAGTTCAGTTTGGCACATCTGAATCACCCTGCACTTTGGGGTCATCACTAAGTAAAATAAACAACACTTGAGCACAACAACCATGATATCTCAACAGTCCGAGTGAGAACTGAGCAAGCAGCTAAGTAAATAATGGTCAAGTGGCTTACACGGCATGGGGCATGGGTACTGCATAGCGGGATGATTCACATCCCAGATGGATGGTGCAAGATTTGACCACACCATTCAGAATGGAAAACAATTTAAAATTCGTGAATTGTTTATTTCTGGAATTTTCCACTTGATTATTTCTGGACTGTGGTTGACCTTAGGTAACTATCAAACTGTGGAAAGCAAAACCACAAGTAAGCGAGGATACTATAATATATATAAAACATTTTTTTCCTTAATGTTATTCTCCGGTGTAAAGTGGGTACTATTTAGAGTTATGTGACCCCCAAGAAGCCTTTTATCATGTTTCCTCACACTGTGTGGTGGCTTCCAGCAGTCACTCTATAGAATGTGACACTTGCTTCTCCCAGTCACATTTAATCAGCTATCAGATGCAAGGTATGTAAGAGGTCCTCCCCAAAGAAGCTGAGATTGGATCTGTCAGGCTGCCTCCTTTCCTGCACACATCTAAATGGCTGGCCCCTTCACAAACAGAGATTTTAAGAAGGTTATCTAAGCAACTACGGGATGATCTGCAGAGTACAGGCAAGTGGGAAAAGTGAATCAGGGGCACAGCAACAAATAGAGCAAGGTGAGATATGGAAACCAACACTGCTTCAATTCCTAGCACATTTCCATCTTCTCGGCCTAGGTCTTTCTGGGACCCTGTTACTTTTTCTCGCTAGGCAAAATACTTGACATCCAAGTTAAAGGAGGAAAGATTTATTATAGTCCACAGTTTGTAAAGGTTTGTTTAGTCAGCTGGCTCCATGGCAGAGTGGCATGGCAGAGGGCATCACAGAGGAAAAACAGCTCAGGATGGGCAGAAGGTGACAAAGCAGTGCAGTAACAAAGAAGCAGTAGCTCCATAACAAACACGGCCGGCAGCAATCCTTTCTGTCCCTTAGTCCCTGCCCAGGCTATCGCCTGCCCTTAGGGTGGGGCAGTATTCACACTCAGGGTGGGGCACCCTTCATCCTAACCTCGTACTATGAATCAATCCCAGGATCACACAGTCCAAATCCAGCTGCTTCCAAAGAGCTCCACCTATGACTGCATGAGGCTTTGGGGAGACATCTAGAAATAACCCGTAACAGGCTTATGAAATTCCTACTCTTGAATTCTGAGTCATCTCTGCATCCTTATAATAATACCCTTTTAAAATTTCCAATAAAATGTTCCTATACAATAATCTGTGAATGATAAATTATAATAAATTAATTCCTTGTATGTTATACTATTTTATGGCATAATCTTTCACTATATGTGAAAATAAATACTTGAAGATCCAGAAATTATATCTTCAAACAGGGGTAAAAACTGATTAATTTCTAACTTCTCCAAAACAGCTAAAGTCTAGCAAGTCTTCCTGCAGGAACCACCTAGGGAAAATAACAAGCTTCTTCTGAATAACACTAAGAATACAAATTTCCCAGAGTAAATCCAAAGGAAAAGATTAAGCCAAAGAGAGCAGTGACTTGCTCAATAAGGTCTCTAGCAAATATCAAAGCTAATTTATAATAGTACCCAAAAGAGAAGCAGGTGGGACATTTTCTGGAGATAGCAATTTTGCAGCTGTTGAGAAGGAACTAGCTGGTAATAATGTACAAGAATGCTGTCATGTCCATTAAACTACCAAAATCAGTAGCATTAAAATTTATCTCCTTCTCTACATAAACAAAAGTTGTAACTATAAATCCATGCCAAGAAATTGAGTTTGATTAACCAAAATAGTTATGTATGGGGAAAACCATAGCTTATTTTAAAAGAACACATTAAAAACTTTTAAGTACTTACATTTTTTGTCATCATGTCAAACTGTATTCTATTTAAGATTCTGAAAAGCCATTAAAAACAAACAAAAATAAAAAAACTTCGTCTTCAATAATTCTTTAAAAGAATATCCTGTTAAAGGAAAAAAGAGGGAATAATAATGTAATAATAGGCAACATTTAGATCATATTTAATAGATAACATGTATTGCTCTAGGTAAACTGTTTAATTCTCAAAACAGCCCTATGAAATATGTACCATTTTAATTCTCATTTTTGAGGTGAAAACTAGATTTTAAAGCAGTTAAATTTAATCAAGTGGTAGAGCCTGAACTTTGAAATAATATTTTATGTCCTTTAGATAATCCAGGGCTTCTTGGAGAAATAGCTAATTTTAGGGCAATGCAAAAAATGTGTAAAATAAACCTAAAACATCTTATTGTTCTACAGTAAAGAGCTTTTAAAAAATAATCAGAACATCAGAAGTACACAGGCACTACATTTAAGGACCTATAAGGAGACAATCTGGAAAGCTGAGTACTAACATACATTCTAGTCATCTAGTGACTAAAATAAGAATCATCTAGTGACTAAAATAAGATTACTGGAGATAATGGAGGATGAGGAAAAGACCTTTGCAGAATGCCAACTAAAATATAAACAAATGACAGTTACTAAATCTTCATTTTACAATTATCATATAATAATCAATAAAGCAAGAATCATAAATATTAAAAACTGATGGAACTATGATAACAAGATATTCACATAGCCTTGAAATTATCTCCTCCCAATCATGATTCCCAATTATACTGGTTTGAAGCCATATAAAGTTTTCACTCATTAATTGGAATGGTTTTAATCTGGGTTGTTTGGTATTATTGTCTGTGATAGCATGAATAGCTATTCTGAAGAAAACAAGACATCATAATAGCTAGTGCTGATTTAATATCATCTTGTTTTGAAGTCCCATCAAGCTGTTGCTCATCTGTTTCCATTGGTTTTAACATGGTATATCTTATTATATTTTAATATGTGGTATTATAAACAAAATTTTTATAGGCAAAGAGATAATATAGAAACATTTTCTGTTAGATGGTTCTAAATACTCTATAATACTTTCATTCTCTTGAATGGTTTCACACTGTCTTGATATGTTTGATGCTATAGTATATGAAATTATACTCAAATATTTCAAGGAAAGAGACACTATAGTAACTACTATTATGTCAGGGTATCTGATAGTGAAACACTATGATGCTTAAACTGTTCTGTGTTGTTCTGTTGTTATGTCCTCTTTTATCTCAATCTCCCCCTTTTTTTATCCAAATTAATTTTTTTATTATTTTTAAATTAAGGGAAAAAATAAATTAAAAAATAGCGGGATATATTATAGTAACTTTTTTGTTTTTCTATTAACCTGATTTGAACCCCTGTATTGCTCTCCCCATCTTGTTTTGACTGATTTTACTCTATTCTGTTTTGTTTGATAGTATCAAGTTTGAGGATATAGGCAACCACTTTGAAGGCAGTTAAGATTCACTATGATGCCCGTTATGGTTTGACTATTATCTTCTTTTGAAGTCCTGTAAGGTCTCCAATATTTAGGTTTTACTGGTTTTGTTCTGTACTGTTTTGTTCCATTCTATTATACCTGATGATATAGGCAACTCTTTTTAAGATAGCAAGAAGCATAATGGTAACCATTGTTGAGCACCTGGTATTCTGTTTTTACATCATGTACTATGTCCATCTTTCTGTTCTAACTGACTCTGTTTTGCTTTGTCACATTTGTTTTTTTTCTCTTCAAAAAAAAGTAATAAGAACTGTGGGAGTAATAAAATCCAAAATGTGTAATTGTTATTGTAAAAAAGAGAGGAAAAGAAAGTGATCTAAAGGATATAACTGCATGTATATTTAAGAGTGTAAGATAGAAAACCATATTACTAAGTTTTTGTTGGATCACTGAAGAGAACTGTTTGCAATCTCACTGTTTGAATGTCCACTTTGTATGCTTTAATTTTGTAATTTGAACAACTATTTCTAAGATGACAATATGTAATCTATTGACTAGTGATTTCTTACTGTATATTTTTCTTGAAATCTTGTATTACTTGTACCCTTTTACTGTTTTGTTTTGTTTTCTCTTAAAAAAATTTATCTCCCCGCAAAATACCTATTAAATATGCAAACTTTTCAGTGAAGAAATCTGGCACACACAACTTTGAGTGATCAAAGTTACCAATGATCAAACTCATCACAGTCTCTTCAAATGCACTAAGATGGATATAATATAATTTTGGAGGTAATTCTGGCCAAAATGCAAAATCTAAATCTAATACGTAAATATCAGAGAAATCCAAATTGAAAGGCCTTCTATAAAATAAAGGCCTAAATCCTTCAAAAACATTAACGTCGGTCCTGGGAACCATAGTTCTGCTCAAAGAGCACTTGCCTACCATGAACATGAGGGCCTTGGGACTGATCCCCAGCACCACAAAAACACACAAAAAAATTAAGTGCTATGGAAAATAAAGGAAGACTGAGAAATGTTTCAGATTTTAAAAGACTAAAATCATAAGAAAACTAAATTCAGTGTGTGACCAAGATGGTCTCTGGGTTAGAAACATAACTGTTGTGAAGGCAATTATTTTGGTAATAGAAGACAGTAAGGTTCACAGACAGGAAAACTGATACTGTTTCAAGGTTACCATTCCAGACTTTGATCAGTGAGAAGTGGAGTGTTAGCCAAGAAGACAGTGCACACCTGTATTCCCAGATTTCTGAAGGCCGAGGCAGGACTGATCATTTGAGGCCTGTCCCAGTTACTTAGAGTTCAAAGCACACCTCAAAATGCATACATACATATATACATTGCTAGCTAAGAAACACAGTGTTCTGTGAATACCTTTTTCACAGAAAATATACTTTAATATATTTAGGAGAGGAGAAGGATGCTAACAGTAACTTATTCTCCATGAAAAACATATGATCTCCATGAAAAACATATGATCTGAATATACACAGGAAGTAAGAATAAAGTATGTATGGTAAAATATTTATAATTGGTAAATCAGAATAAAGAATATTGGGAAATTCTTTGCCCTACATTTGTAATTTTTTTCTTATTTTAAAATTATTTCAAAATTAAAGGATTAAATAAAATTAATTTAAAACAATCATCATAAATAATAGGGGCTTGAAAAAAATCAGGGCTACAAATGTCTGCCTTAGATGTGAAAATCTAAGTCTGGAAATAAAATGGAAGTGGAAGAAAAAACAAGATTGGTTTTTTTTAATCTTTCAATATGATTATGAGTTTGTAATTTTTCAAAGGTGAAGAAAACATAAATTTAAAAATCCAAGTAAAAGCTGAACCACAACTACCAGTTTTGCCTTCCCCTCTGTAGCTATATGACTACTGTAAGCTATCATGAAAAATCAAACCTCCATACCAGATCTAAAATTTTACATTGATCAATTATTTCTTATGGCTTCAATAGTAATATACATTTAAATATGAGATAAGTAATAAAGCACAAGTTCCTGATATACCATTCACCAAACTACCTGATATAGTCAAACTAGAAATTTAAAGGCTAAAACATAAATACATTCTGAAGCAGTAACTATTTTAATCAAGCTTGATCGAATAACTCTATCTATAGGTCTGAAACATTTCTTAAAGCACCAATTTATAAAACTTGCCTACATATTTGTCCGCACCTACAATTTCAGAGAATACATACAGGTTATAGTCTCTGGCCACAATGCAATTATGTTAGAAATTAAGTTTTTTGGGTTTTGTTTTTTTGTTTTTTGTTTTTTTTTTTTTTGGTAGCGGGGATGGAATGCAAAACTTTGCACTTTACCAGGCAGGCTTTTTGTGCTGCTGAACTAAACACCCAGTGAAATCAAGAATTTTTTTTAAAAAGTTATACCTAGAAAATAAAACTATATTACTTAAACTCACATCAATTTGAAAAATTGAGTTGAATAACAAAAAAATAATAAAAAATTCAGAGCTAAGTGACAAAAATAATAAAATTTATGGTCTAGCTGAACTAGTATTTTAGCAATACATCTTTGTATTCTTTAAGCCACTAATTTAAAAAGTTTTTTTAAAAGTGGGAACTCAAAGAAAGATGAAAAGGAAAAGCATAAATTAATGAAGTAGAAAAAAATCAGTAAATAAGCAAGCTGACTTAAAGTTCCTATTTAAACAAGGCATCTAATAAGGCAGCAGTATAGTAGAACAGACAGAGTTTGAAATGACTCAATCTCAGCTCTGATTTAGCTATAGGATCCTAACAAGTAACTTGACCTCTTAGAGCTTTAGTGTCTTCATTCGAGAGCTTGTTTGGAGACTGTAGAAGGGGAACATGGCTACTCATATGCCCCTGGCTGAGGAATCAGTCCTCTGTCAGGGTAATGGTCCTCTTCCAATGAGTGCACACAAGGAGCGGTGAGGGAGGGAGGGGACACCCACCCAGCCAGCAAGATCGGCCAGATAACCCTGGTCACCCATGGGGTGCAGATGTCTCAGCCCAGATCGCCAGCACGTCCTGGTGTCTTCATTTGAAAAAGTCATTATGCTTGTTTCAGAATTATTTAAGGAGTAATTTAAACATCATTTGTCAGAATTGAAAATAACCAGATCTATAAGTCAATGTGCTAAATGTCCTCCAATTGATATATAAATCCTCTGAACACTTCTAACCACAAAAACGTTCAATTTTTAAAATTTGGGGCTGTGCACCAGGCATGGCACTTGAGGTCCTGATTTTGACTCCCATTACCACAAAAAAATAAATTCAAATCCAGCTTTAGTAATTTGGTATACTTGTCTCCAGGGTATTGCACTTTGTTCTGACAAGCTCATTAGAGTGACTCACTATTTGTATGATAGTGTTACTTACTGTCTTGGGCTGAAAGTTATATTCTGTTCATTTTTTTTTAGTTGCATAAAGATTACAGTGCCACTTTAACAGCACAGCCTTTAGGATATATGATACTATATGTAATACTGAATACAGAAATGAATCAGATATACAGAGACAACAGCTTTAACCATTAGTGTCATGATTTAGGCACAAAGAAATAGAGAAAAGGAAGAAAAAGATACCCAGTAGC